TGCAAAGAAAATCCAAAAACTATGGTTTTTATCATTAAATGAAGAGATAGCCTAAAGATGTATTGCAGGTTTTACGGCATAACAAGGTTTCATTCACCCGGGCCCCTGGGCAGTTGCCCCCCTTTGTTTACATTTTAATAACTTTTTATTTTCACTTTGTTTACTCATTTAGATGAAACCCAGATAATTCTAAACTTCTCCAAAAAATGAATCTTTTTTTAAGAACCTGAACAAGTCTCCTGTATGGGTAAGTCAAAGATGTGATGCGAATGTGTCACTTTAAATCTTTCAACATAATTTTTAGAGGGGCCAACAGAAAATTATTAGCATTCTCCACACTAAATAAAGTATTTCTACAATGCCCATTTTAATTAAAATTATACTCAACATACCCGATTTTCACACAGAGTTTCTCAACTGATATTTTAAAATTAGACAGTAATCATAGCATCCATTTCTGTGCTGACATAAATTGTGCTGAGGGCAGTTACACAAATTTTGTTACAAGTAGAAGGTAGAGTACATTACTTACACAAACTCTTTATCAATCACCAAAAATAACAGAAAAGGTTATAGTTTGTTTGCTTCAGAAATTCATGCAAAGTTACATAAGGGCAACCTCTGCATATCCATCCCTAATTTTGAAATGTCAGACCAAAGCGAAGGCAGATGGTTAACAGAAGCTACTGCCAACCCTTGGGTTACTCTTGTCTGATCAAATAGAAGAGTTTGACAATCACTCTTACAGCTCACCCACAGTTTGTGTTTTTGTGGCAAGAAATTGCAAACCATGAATATTCAGATTCACAGTCTGGACATGCTATCACCATATGGCCATCCCCAGTTCCAGAAAAAATAATGATTTTTCAGATAATTTCTTAAGTTGTTGTTTTTTATTTTAATTTATGACCAAACACATCTATTTTCATTAAAAAAAGTGTTTTCATGAGATATAATTGTATGATATAGCAATGCTTTGTTAAAAAAATACTAAATTATAACTGACAAAAATGAGACTCACATATTCTTGTAGTTGATCCCTGAATAAAAGCCTTCCACAAATATATGGATAGAAAGCTGTAGAGATATAGCATAAGGCATCAAACATAGACAGATTCACTGAAATAAATAAGCAGCATTAACAAAGAAAAATTATTTCTAACATTATGCAAAACACAGGAGGTATAAAACTCATTAGAAGTGAAGACCAGTAAAATATCACACATTTTAAATAAAACCATTTTTCATTGCGACATTTCAAACAGAAGTCCTTCATAAGGTTCTGATGCAAAATACATAAACGGCGTAGACAACAAAACCTGACATACATTGAAATTAAAAACTTTATTGAGTCAGTATACTAATCTTCTTTTGTATCAAATTTTCTATGGAAACCAATAATGTTAGTACTTTAGTGAGAATTATTGTATCTATGCTCCATCAATACACAATGAACTTCAAAACTACTGATACCCTCTTAAGTTTAAGAAATTTAACCTATTTATAAATATTATTTCATAAGATTCAGGAATCCTCTGTAATTCATTTTTGGCTAAAGACAGACTTGTGCTTACATGGATTTCTAGAAAATACATGCTAGATTATTTCACTAAAAGAAAGTGAAATATGGGTAATAATTTAATATTATATATATATATATCTAGGAACAGAATTTTACAAGCCTTTAAACATATCATTTACTTATAAAATCAACTTACCAAATATAACAATAGCTCCTGTTAGCAACCCAATGGCCCATTTAAGATTTTTCTGTAATGGTTAAAAAAAAGAACTTTAATATTTTTTAATAATTATGATACAATTAAAAACTCATAGTTTTAACTACAATTGCTAATGAACTGAATTTTTTATTCTCATAATAAAAAATATTTCAAATTTATAATTTACATCTTGTATGTTTAATTAGAGATGTGTTGTTTCAATATAAAAAAGAATAAATTGCTCTTTATTTTTTCAACTCGGTAAAAAATACAAGATTTTAGGAACTGCAAATACATGTGCAGTTAACTTACAACAAAATAACTTGAGCCATCAAATCCAAGGATCTACATAAAAAAAGTAAGGAAGAAAATTATATACATTTATATTTTAAAATTCATAAATGATTAGAAAAGTGCTTTTAAATTTTGAATGCATTACTCTTTTTTTAGGTGAAAAACTATTAAAAGTAAAATAATGAAAAAAGCATTAAAAAGTTCTTAACATGATATTGTTTATGATTTTTTTGGTGGTATTTTGTTTGTCACTTTAATTACTGGATATCTATGTTATTGGACACATTAACCTTATTTATATGACAGTTAATATCTTATATCAATGATGAAAACTCTATTAATATATTTATACACTAGAAATACTTTCAAAACTTCTAATACTCCGAGACTGCATCTTTGATCAAAACTCTATATGGATGACTATTACTCCCTTCGCCTATATGTATATAAGATGTATTAACTTTCAAACTTCTTAACAAACTTGCTTCTAAAGCTGTATACAATTTTAAACTAAAGCTTCAAATTAACACAATATTTGCTGATGTCATGATAAAAATCCCAACTGTAAACAAAAATTGTTTCAACATTTTAAACTCCCACACCGTACTGTAGTTTTACAATTCTTGTAAATGCTTTGGTTAATCTTTGATGGATTTATAATGGCTTACCATTAGACAAATACATAAATTCTAATATATATACATCTTTATACAGAAAAAAAACAAACTAGATAACATATAGAACAAGAAGAAGATCTACAGATGCAGTAGCAGTTCTCATATTTAAATATCAAAAAGTATTAGTACCAGGTAATTTATAATTTAAAGCAATTTCTGAAGTTTCAAATTAAAACAATTGCTGGTTTCCAATTAAAAGCAGTTTATAAAGTTTCAAATTCTCCCACAAACCTAGTAGTAGGTTAGTATAGTTAATCAGTTAGTAATCAATGAAGTAAAAATGTGTAAGCTCATCAATCTAATAATTTGGAACCCACTTCAATTCTGACTGACTCCACTGTCTCAGTAGTAATCTTGAGGCCTAATAAACTGTTACTACTGACTGAGCCAAAAATAAAAATTACAAGTCCCATTAGAACATTTTATGCATCATCTTTACAATATCAGAAATGCATTAAAATTTAATCACTATTCCAGCTAAGTATATGTACAAAGTTATTATAAAGTTTGGTGGCCTATCCTAATTTTTATAACTCAACAGGTAATCACCAGAGATTTAAAAAATTTGGTAGATGAGTTAATGAAAGGTGGTTTCAATACCTAAAATAATTATCACCAGGGGCACTTATCACGAAAGCTGCACAATCATCATGCTAACAATGTTTGACATGAATGCCATTCCTGTCCGCTACTGCTTGTATATTCAATACTGTTTAAATCCAAACATCAGTCTTGGCATTGTGTACTGTTTTTCAGGTCTGTCAAAGAAGCAGGTATTATGATACACCAAAGGCTTGAGGTGGCCCTATGGCCAAATGTCAGCAGGGATTAGATCTGAAGATTTTGTTGACCAGATGTGCAGAAAATATCTGCCAATTAATTGATCCCCAAAATCACGTACCAGCAATAGGTCTTGACAGTCTAAGTAAAGTATGTAGCCTTTGGATGAAGACTGTTTCACTTAAAAACTCCTCTTTCTAAAGTATAGAATTGGTTGCATATTCTAAGTTGTATCAGCAAATAATTATAATTGTTAGTTTTTATCAGCTTCCTATAAGCATCATTGTTGCATAATCCCTTCTATTCATTTCACACTGATACCATATTAATGCTGTAACAATGTCTCTTACTGCCGTTACCAGTATTGTAGTAATGCTTTACAGGAGCAAACCTAACATCCAGAAATAATCTGTGAGTAGCTATTTATAACTTTTTGGCAAGTGGTATATGAATGATAGATTGGACTTCATTTTTGTTTTTCGTAACTTAAACAACTTGTCTGCTTAATAATTCAGGAAAATAAATTAGTAGCATCAATGCTGCATATTCTTCAAATGCAGTATAAATATGGATACACTGTAATAAGCAAAAAAAAACAAAAACACCTCAAAATATCATAAGAGGAAAGAATCCTGGGATGTTTGATAATGGTTTTATACAATCTCTAGTATGTAAATTTCAATATCAGTCCGTCTCACTGGCGTAGCAAGATGGGGGCAGTTGCCCCCGGGTGCAGGTGTGAATGGGCGCAAAATTTCCACTGGCCTATAATGCCTATTAACTAATAATTATGCCCTCCCCTAGGATATAGCGCAACTGCCCTATGTTAAGTAAATATGAGACAGTGTTACATTATTTGTGTGTATTACGCTTGCAGTTTTAACCTTTAAAAGCCACCCACTGAAGTACACTGAGACCGAATTGACGTACAGAAGTAAATTACACTATTCCATAATTCATCTGTAGATCAAATACAAGTCCTAGAGTACAACGTACAAGTAAGTGTATGTTCAACAAAAAGAAAATACGAGATTGATGTAACATATTAACTGGTGTGCAAGATTGGCAATATATGCAACAGGCAAGATCTAGATCTGGTAAACATTATAGGCCTAATGTAGTGGTTTGTAATTGTATTGGTTGATTGTAAATCATGTCTTACACCAACTAATGTACTAGACTTTAGGTCTAATTGCAGTTATAACTTTATTTCTAGACCCTAGGTCCATCATCATACAAATTGTAGCCTATATTATAGGCATACTTAGACTTATACTAACTATTAAACTAGGCATTGTACTGAGAT